TTTTGATTGACACTAGGAGCTACGATCTACTAGAGATAAATTAAACTATGGGTTGAAATTAATCAGGAACTAAATTCAAGAACTCAAGTCAGTGTGTCAACTTCAACATAGTCATCCCTATCTGAACGAGTCTCAAATAAAAATCTATGAATTTTTTTCTTAAAGATTGGTTTAGATAAATCTCTCCAGTCTGGAGAAATTTGATTCCATAATATCGCTCCAGTTCTTGAAAAAGAGCGTTTGAAAATTTCCGACTTAACTTCTTTCTGAAGATAATTCCCTTTTGCGGCATGCCTTGTGTTGTACCCATGAATTTTATTTGACCTAGTGAAAAGAGTTCTGATAGGTGAAGGGGCTAATTTTTTCCAAATATCATGCATGAGATTCACAATCGCATCAAAATAGATCATATTTACAGGTAAAATCTTTGATTGAATGAAAAGAGAAATAGCATGAGCATCACTGGGCACAAAACAAATCAGTTGAAGAGCTCGTTTTTGGAGAACAAGTAGTTTGCCAAAGTACAATTTGGCTGCACAACCCCATACACAAATCCCATAGGATAAATATGGCAGAATAAGAGAGCGATAAATCATTAAAAGAGTTTCAGTTATTATAAAAATGTAGTTGTCAATGTAATTATCTTTCAATTCAAATTATGACACGATGAACACTCATAACTATTCAATTCTAATGAAGTAACTAAGAACTTCAAAGCAGTAGCCAGCCAAGGCAACATCAGAAAAAAGACTTTCATATATGTTACTGTTATGTTTACGATTATTATTCAAGCTATAGCCTCTTACAGGAACCTGTCAAAATTGCTAAAATTTATGTGAAATTACACAGCTAAATATTTTCTCCAAGACACACAAATGGACACAAAAATAAAGATAATAAATAACCCAAATTTAAATTTTTCAGAGGCAAGTGCCTCGGTTTGCCTCATACTGGCTACGGCCCTGAACATTTTTAGCAGAATTCACTGATACTGGTTAATACTGTACACTTTAGGTCTCCACCTCAACAAAGAAAGTGTTTCTTAAGGGGAAATTCCTTGGATAACCTCAAACACCGATCATACACAACAGTTAGATCACACTAAACAAACAATCCCACCAAGAGCAAAATGCCAAATATGTTTTCACTTGCTGTGGCCACCATATTGAATATGTGAACAGCAGTAGCATTATTTTTCATTCAACAACAATTACACCAGTGGCTCCTCTTTCACCCTAATTTTCACCTTAACATGTAAAAAAGAACTTACTCTAAGTGATTCGTGTCTGTGTACGTGACATAAATGTAAATATGGGGCTCAAAACTTTGCCGTAAATGACCCATGAAAACCTACCTCTTCACGTTGAAAACACTGGTTCAAAAGCACAAATGTCACTTCAGAGCCTAATCACGTGATTTCTTCATGTTTGCTGTCAGAGGGTTTTGCTGAAAAACCTGGTGCTAAATGTCTCTAATTTTACAAATACAATACTTGTATTGGCTCGAACAACTAGCATCGCTGATATTTGCATTTTGAAAACGCTTCACGCTCAAATGTTCAAACTTCACTTTAAAAAGAGACCTTGAGAAGTTTATCGACGAGGGCATCGATAAATGGGTGAATCTTTTGATACACATTGAAAGTTATTAATCAAAGGTGTATTTTGATGCGAACTCAAATGGGTTATTTTAGCACTAGCAGCCTCGACAGTACAGGCTATTTAAATGTTTTGGTTTCAAAAAGAAGAGGAGAAATCAACAAAAAAAACAAAAAAGAGGGGGCGGCATTGTCTCGAACTCAACCCACTATAATTGTACCAGCTCTCAGTCTGCATAGCACTTTAATCGCCTGTACTAACACAACAACATATATAAAAGCGACTTTTTTGTGACTGGAATACTTGTATCGGCACGAACAATGAGTGGCTAATGTGATGCTTTGTTGATTTCATTGTCCAGCAAAACAAAAGCTTTCTTTTGTTTTGCATTCAACAGAAAGATGCCACTAGGAAAAGTGCCTTTTTTGCATACGTTATTTCTCAAAAACAAAGAGCAACCCAGCGAAAAATAAATTACAAGGCAATGTTTTTAAGCTGAAATGAAGTCCACATGCAAAAATTCAGCTAATTTGGAGCAAAAAAAGCAACCAAATTTGTCACTCCTCGCCTTTTATGACTAGCTTCTTCAAATGAAGTTTATAGATTGTACCTGTGTACCTTGACGTTATTCAGAGGTGGAGTTATTTTGTGAATGTGTTCACTAAAGTACTTAAAGTACTTGTACAGGTGTAAAGAACAATGCAATAAGGTCTACCCATCTACCATGTAATTGGCATGCAATCATGCAGGTGTCCAATTACATGTATCCAAATTACAACCTTTTGTAATTGGATACTTAAGCCATTCACAGATCAATAATTATTATGCATGCTTTAATGGTTGAATGTCAGATGGCATCCATTTTGAAAGCAGAATATATTTTCCTTGTGCAGGAACAATTGCATTAATATTCATGCATTATCAAGTCCAACTGGGTCTTTCCCAGGTTCCACATGGTTCATTGATCAACAGAACAGAAATTTGAGCAGTATCAATTTCTGTTTTGTTGCTCCAATTTCTGTTGCATGGTGTTCATGATGTTTTAAATTCCATTCTGCTTGTGTAATTTCAAATCTCTCATCATAAATTCTATTCTGTTTGTTCAATTTTCAGCAAAGAATTTATAAACTACATGCAGGTTCCATATAACAGAATTTGAAACAGGATTTTGGTGGCGATGACCGCTCATAAGGATCAACATGATTCTCCAATTGTTAATGTCTTAAATGAGAAAACTTCAAGATGGATTTCTGAGGTATTGTACGTTATGAATGTTGCTACTATTCAATAACTGCTTGGCAAGAATAATTGCTACAGTTTGCTTTTTTGATATTGTTCTGAATTATTCAGGGATCTCTCAACAAAGCTATGAATAACAACAATGGTAATCAGCATATACTCAAAATAAGGAAGATCACACCAATGAAAGTGGCACAATATCCAAAATGTTGTTGCAATAATTTTTCGTGTTGAAAAGGCAAGTCTGGGTTTATTCTTGACTGCTCAAAAAATGACTGTTGACTTGTTTGTCAGAGTGGTCAATATTGCTGCAAAAGTAACGATCCCATGTTGTGCTCAGAAAGAAGGTACTGGCAAAAGGGCTGGCCTTTGCAAAGTCCAAGATTGCTCTTTGATGTTAAAAGCTACTACAAAAGACGACTGCAAATTTTGTGGACACCAATGACCAACATTCTGAAAACAGTAAAGAGGATTCTGACTTGAGTGAGGTGGAGTGGGATGACAGTAGGGTGGATAAGCCTGATAGCATATTAGCAGAGCCCTCGTTGAAAGTTAAGGCGGGGTTTCACCTGAATTTTGTGAAAAAATGAATTTTTGTTTTTTCTCAAAATTGCAACTTTGACTATTTAACATTGGGAAAGGACTTTTTCGTTTTTCTTACCATTTTGCGGTAAATTAACAGTCGATTTAAAAGAGGTGAAAATCTGGGGATGTGTTACCATGGCCACGATAATAGCATTTTTTGTTTTTCTTGGCTGTTTATGGCCTTTTCTGACTGATTTCTCGAGGAAACAGAATGAGGTACTTGGTGACACATACATGACGGAACATACTGCGAATTGCACCCTGGAATATATTTAATATTGAAACCGAAGGTTGAGATCACTTTTTGAAATACGTGTGTTCAAGAGTAGTGAAAATATTGTTGTAAATGGCTGGGAAAAGGCAAAGAAGCCTCTACAGACCAAAAAGGGAAGGAAAAGGATTTGGTGGGTGTAAAAAAGGGAAAAATTTGGGGAAAAAAAAAGCATCAGAAGAAGTAGAAATCGATCGAGCAAAACCGAGGACCTCTCACGAGGGAGCTGACGCTTCAGACTCTGAGGACTCTGATCAAGCACTCAGTTCATTGATGAAGAAGATGAAGCTGTTCCATTCAACAGAAGAATCACTGAATAGCTCGGATGAAGAATCAACTGGGCAATGCGAAGCAACTGGCTACAGACTAATTGATTTGCAAAGTCTATCTTCAGTGCTCTCTGCAGCACACAAATGCGAAGAAGGTGAAAAAATTACCTTGACAGATTTTACCAAACCATTTGATTGTTCTTCTGGTCTGAAAAACAAACCGATTTCAGTGTATAATTTAACTTTGTGATTTTGTCGCTTTGATTTTGTTGTTTGTGCTTAAATATTTTGGCACTTGTATTTCTGTATTTATTGAACTAGGAATTTTGTTTTCAAATGACATGCAACAGATGCCACACTAGACATTTCAAATAAACAGTGTCTTATACTGTATGTCTTTTTGTTTCTTCAAGAAACTGAAAGTGGTCAGGCAAGGTTAAAGTCTGACCTTCTCCTCATTTGCAGTGCTTGTGACGAAAGCACTTCACTCCAGACATCTGCCAACATCACAAAAAGGGGAAAGNATCGCTGATATTTGCATTTTGAAAACGCTTCACGCTCAAATGTTCAAACTTCACTTTAAAAAGAGACCTTGAGAAGTTTATCGACGAGGGCATCGATAAATGGGTGAATCTTTTGATACACATTGAAAGTTATTAATCAAAGGTGTATTTTGATGCGAACTCAAATGGGTTATTTTAGCACTAGCAGCCTCGACAGTACAGGCTATTTAAATGTTTTGGTTTCAAAAAGAAGAGGAGAAATCAACAAAAAAAACAAAAAAGAGGGGGCGGCATTGTCTCGAACTCAACCCACTATAATTGTACCAGCTCTCAGTCTGCATAGCACTTTAATCGCCTGTACTAACACAACAACATATATAAAAGCGACTTTTTTGTGACTGGAATACTTGTATCGGCACGAACAATGAGTGGCTAATGTGATGCTTTGTTGATTTCATTGTCCAGCAAAACAAAAGCTTTCTTTTGTTTTGCATTCAACAGAAAGATGCCACTAGGAAAAGTGCCTTTTTTGCATACGTTATTTCTCAAAAACAAAGAGCAACCCAGCGAAAAATAAATTACAAGGCAATGTTTTTAAGCTGAAATGAAGTCCACATGCAAAAATTCAGCTAATTTGGAGCAAAAAAAGCAACCAAATTTGTCACTCCTCGCCTTTTATGACTAGCTTCTTCAAATGAAGTTTATAGATTGTACCTGTGTACCTTGACGTTATTCAGAGGTGGAGTTATTTTGTGAATGTGTTCACTAAAGTACTTAAAGTACTTGTACAGGTGTAAAGAACAATGCAATAAGGTCTACCCATCTACCATGTAATTGGCATGCAATCATGCAGGTGTCCAATTACATGTATCCAAATTACAACCTTTTGTAATTGGATACTTAAGCCATTCACAGATCAATAATTATTATGCATGCTTTAATGGTTGAATGTCAGATGGCATCCATTTTGAAAGCAGAATATATTTTCCTTGTGCAGGAACAATTGCATTAATATTCATGCATTATCAAGTCCAACTGGGTCTTTCCCAGGTTCCACATGGTTCATTGATCAACAGAACAGAAATTTGAGCAGTATCAATTTCTGTTTTGTTGCTCCAATTTCTGTTGCATGGTGTTCATGATGTTTTAAATTCCATTCTGCTTGTGTAATTTCAAATCTCTCATCATAAATTCTATTCTGTTTGTTCAATTTTCAGCAAAGAATTTATAAACTACATGCAGGTTCCATATAACAGAATTTGAAACAGGATTTTGGTGGCGATGACCGCTCATAAGGATCAACATGATTCTCCAATTGTTAATGTCTTAAATGAGAAAACTTCAAGATGGATTTCTGAGGTATTGTACGTTATGAATGTTGCTACTATTCAATAACTGCTTGGCAAGAATAATTGCTACAGTTTGCTTTTTTGATATTGTTCTGAATTATTCAGGGATCTCTCAACAAAGCTATGAATAACAACAATGGTAATCAGCATATACTCAAAATAAGGAAGATCACACCAATGAAAGTGGCACAATATCCAAAATGTTGTTGCAATAATTTTTCGTGTTGAAAAGGCAAGTCTGGGTTTATTCTTGACTGCTCAAAAAATGACTGTTGACTTGTTTGTCAGAGTGGTCAATATTGCTGCAAAAGTAACGATCCCATGTTGTGCTCAGAAAGAAGGTACTGGCAAAAGGGCTGGCCTTTGCAAAGTCCAAGATTGCTCTTTGATGTTAAAAGCTACTACAAAAGACGACTGCAAATTTTGTGGACACCAATGACCAACATTCTGAAAACAGTAAAGAGGATTCTGACTTGAGTGAGGTGGAGTGGGATGACAGTAGGGTGGATAAGCCTGATAGCATATTAGCAGAGCCCTCGTTGAAAGTTAAGGCGGGGTTTCACCTGAATTTTGTGAAAAAATGAATTTTTGTTTTTTCTCAAAATTGCAACTTTGACTATTTAACATTGGGAAAGGACTTTTTCGTTTTTCTTACCATTTTGCGGTAAATTAACAGTCGATTTAAAAGAGGTGAAAATCTGGGGATGTGTTACCATGGCCACGATAATAGCATTTTTTGTTTTTCTTGGCTGTTTATGGCCTTTTCTGACTGATTTCTCGAGGAAACAGAATGAGGTACTTGGTGACACATACATGACGGAACATACTGCGAATTGCACCCTGGAATATATTTAATATTGAAACCGAAGGTTGAGATCACTTTTTGAAATACGTGTGTTCAAGAGTAGTGAAAATATTGTTGTAAATGGCTGGGAAAAGGCAAAGAAGCCTCTACAGACCAAAAAGGGAAGGAAAAGGATTTGGTGGGTGTAAAAAAGGGAAAAATTTGGGGAAAAAAAAAGCATCAGAAGAAGTAGAAATCGATCGAGCAAAACCGAGGACCTCTCACGAGGGAGCTGACGCTTCAGACTCTGAGGACTCTGATCAAGCACTCAGTTCATTGATGAAGAAGATGAAGCTGTTCCATTCAACAGAAGAATCACTGAATAGCTCGGATGAAGAATCAACTGGGCAATGCGAAGCAACTGGCTACAGACTAATTGATTTGCAAAGTCTATCTTCAGTGCTCTCTGCAGCACACAAATGCGAAGAAGGTGAAAAAATTACCTTGACAGATTTTACCAAACCATTTGATTGTTCTTCTGGGCTGAAAAACAAACCGATTTCAGTGTATAATTTAACTTTGTGATTTTGTCGCTTTGATTTTGTTGTTTGTGCTTAAATATTTTGGCACTTGTATTTCTGTATTTATTGAACTAGGAATTTTGTTTTCAAATGACATGCAACAGATGCCACACTAGACATTTCAAATAAACAGTGTCTTATACTGTATGTCTTTTTGTTTCTTCAAGAAACTGAAAGTGGTCAGGCAAGGTTAAAGTCTGACCTTCTCCTCATTTGCAGTGCTTGTGACGAAAGCACTTCACTCCAGACATCTGCCAACATCACAAAAAGGGGAAAGTCCATCGATGTAAACAAAAGAGCTGTTTTCCACTCTCTGGAATCGGGGACTGGTTATGAAGGGCTTGGATCCTTCTGTGGAATCATGAACATGCCTTGTATGTCGACAAGTGCCTACTACAAACAGGTAGACCGCATCCTAGGCATTGCACAAGATTACACAATGGAAGAGCTCAAAAGTGCAGGTCAGAGGCTACGAAACATCATCCTTGATGAAAATTCGGAGCTTGACATTAATGAGACTTTGGATGCAGCTGTTAGCTTTGATGGCACCTCAGCCAAGCAAGGCTTTACCTCTAACAATCTCAGTAGACAGTGGTGAGGTTTTGGACTACGCTGTCTTGTCAAAAGCTTGCCAAAAGTGTGCTCGCAAAGAGTCACAGTTTGAAGGGGAAGACGAGAGCTTTCAGGAGTGGAGGAGAGAACATGTGGCCTCTGGTGAGTGCGATATTAATTTTAATGGTAGCTCACCAGCCATGGAAGCTGAAGGAGCTTCTATCCTTTGGAGAAGATCCACTGAAATGCATAACATGAGATACAAGTGGATGGTCTCAGACGGGGACAGCAAAGCATTCAACACTGTCAAGAATGGTGATTAAGTTGGATTGTGTTGGCCATGTCCAAAAGAGGATGGGCAAACACCTTTTAAACTTGAAAGCATGGACAAAAGGCAAACTGGAGGATGGCAAACCCATACAGGGGCATGGCAGGCTCACTGAAACCAAAATTAAGAAGCTACAAAAATATTATGGCCTCACAATACATCAAAATACTCTAAAAAAAGTCCAATCCAACTGACAGAGAAGTTGATGTTGCCATCTATACCATGAAGAAGAATATCATAGCAACTCTTAACCACAGTGTTAAGGGACAGGATCCTGCTAAACAGCACCACTTCTGTCCTGTTGGAGAAACTTCATGGTGTAAGTGGCAACAGGATCAGGCAACAGGGACAAGCACCTACAGAGATGATGAGTGTTTGCCTGAGGCATTTCTTGAACTTGTAAGGCCATCATTCATGACACTGAGTGATACAAAACTTCTCAAGAGATGCATTCGTGGGACCACTCAAAATGTAAATGAATGTATCAACTCTATGGTTTGGGTGCGTTGCTCCAAGCATAAGCATCATGGTGCTAAGGTCATTCAATACTCTGCTGCCTCAGCTGTTTGCCACTTCCACAAGGGAGCAGAATGTACAAAGGACATCATGGATAAACTTTCAATTTCTGGTGGGACACACACCAGCCATGCCTTCAGGCTAAAGGATAACTAGCGTTTGCAGAAAGCAGACAACCAAGCTACGGCCAAGGAAAAGAAGCGCCGCCAGGCAGTCCACCTTGTTCGCACACGACGAGAAGAAGTCCTTCAGGACCTTGAAGGAATTACTTATGAGGCTGGGGGATTCTGATTGGTTACCTGTTGCCTCTAGAAACTAAATCTGACTAGTTTTCCAACCATTGTTTTTGTTCAAGATTCATCATAATATATAATCTGTTATAAACTTTACGTCTGTTTTCTCAAAACGACAGATTTTCACCTTTGAGAAAAGATATCTAAAGAAGGATTTAAGCTATTGACCTGAAATTTTCAGGACAGTTGGTGCTCATTTAATAAATTGATATAAATGAAGGAATTTTCCAAAGGCTTGCTGGGGAAAAAATGACCAATTAATATTCACCTAGTTTTTCAGCATGTAACTTGAGATGGTTCCTTTGATGTGTGATGTTATAATTTTGTAAAATCCTTCATTCATATCAACAATTAGTTCTTATTCTTTGAAATGACATAAAAAGTTTATTTTCTATCAAATTTATAAAGAGAAATCCATGGGTTTTGCACTGCAGGTGGTACTTTTGACAGCCTGGTGTCAAGTTACTTTTGCTGTTACGCAAAAACAGCCATTTTTAGAATCTTTGGTTTGTAAGCTTTCCAGTGATATATAGTTTGCCATGGTTTGGATTAAAACTGTTAGAGCTACTGAAGATACAAAAAGTGTGCTTTTTTCAGGTGAAACCCTTCCTTATACCAGTTCTCTCTTTTGATGGTGATATGACTACTTGGATATTCCTGGCAGAATTCAAGTCAAGCAACAATGGCTGTAGTGGTAGCAGTGCTTGCAGTGATATTTCCCTGGCTGTGGCTCACACGTTTTTAACTTTAGCCATTCATTTTCTGCTTGGAAGCCACCTGTCCCTCTGTTGGACCAAGCTTTTGTGTTTTGCCACAGCACTATTTGAATGCCATAGAAGGTGCTGAATTGTTCTGCAGTTATGACCCTGTCAGAGTTGGACAGCCATACCCTGTAAGAATGTAAGACCAGCATCCCTTTTCCACCATCGAGCAGCAACTTCATGTCAGAAGAACAAAAAAAAACAGTGCGGCACTATTTATTCATGATGAAAAGGCTGTTGCTTTTCAGTTTGTCCAAGATAGCACTATCTAAGCTAGCATATGGTACAGCTATTACAGTTGCTAATAGCTTAACTTGTCTGTGTCATGCAGTTTTAGCAAATTTACTCTTGTAGAAAGTTAGCAATTCAATTTAGGTTGTTTGAGTTGTCTAGCAGGCTTTCTAACTCCACTGGATAAGATGTTGGTCTATCGCTAACATCTGTGTCCTCCCCTTCCACACTATGCCAAGTTGCCCTGCAAAATTTTTTGTGGTAAAACGGTAAATTACTGTTAATTTTGAAACAACATAGGTTAAGTTAACTTAAATTAATCTTATGCTATAGAATACAATTAAAAAATAAAAACAAGTGACCACATCTTTTTGTTTTGCTTGTTTTTACTATGTACCATGCATTGAGCATAGTTCCATGGCTGTATCCTTTGCCATCAAGCCAAAGTGCCAAGGCAAGTGTTAAGTCAAGATTTTAATCCTATAAGGCCTAAGAATGTGAATTTACACTCCATTGTAAAAGCTCTGAAATCGGAAAAGTGCAAATCAGCACTCTTTCAGATACCATCTTTTATTGTTGCTCAATGGTTACCAAGCACTATCACCCAATCAGATGAAGTGTCAGATTGAGTCTTGCCAGGCTAATGGAATGGGTTTTATACAAAATATGTGACAAATCTGACTTTGTTCACATCAGTTACTATTTTTTACTACTTTTATTTACTCTATTACTATTTCAATCTGCGAAATGGCAGCTGTAGATACTCTGATGAATCGGACTTTCAAGACGAAGAAGGAGACAATAGTGGCAGTAAAAGCGACAGTTTCATTTCAAATGTAAATACTGATGATCTTTCTCGGAAGATGAAGGCAATGAAGACAGGTGGAGTCGCGATCCAGCACCAGTAAACACAACTCCTTTCGTATCAAGAACGGGAGCTGTTAGTAGTATTCCAGTAGACAGCACTGCAAAAGGCTTTTTCAACCCTTTTGTCTCTGATGAAGTGTCTGAGGCCTTTGTGGAAGAAACCAATCGATACACGAGGCTATGCATTGCGCATAAACCAAATCAAAGATTGCAAGAAACTAACATGGAACAAATTAAGCTCACTTCGGGCCCAACATTCTGTTTCGTATCAAGAAGCTTCCTGATATTGACTTGTATTGGTCAAAGGATGCAGCTGTTGGTGTTCCTTCTGTGCAAGAAGTAATGCATAGAGTAATTCATATCAATGACAATGAAAAGGCTGCTCAACACAGACACCTTGACCATGACTAGCTATTCAAAACTGGTCCTTTGTTTGAGGCTATCAACAAAAAGTTCTTGAAGAATATCAACCATTACAAAACCTCGATGAAGCAACGGTCGTATAAATACACGCCAACTCATGTCTATCTCTCACTTTAAAGGGGAACTAGCAACGAAACAATATCTCCCCATCAATCCCGAGAAAAGGGGAATTAAAGTGTGGTTGTGTGGTGACGTGTCAAATGTTTTTTATTTTATAAGTACCGAGATTTATCCAGAGATGACAGTGATGAAAAATTGTTCTGTCTTTAGTCGCAGCCAATCAGCGACGCGATTTCACTAATGAAAAATCATTGTTCGCAGCATCTGATTGGACGAATGATGTTTTTCACTAGTGAAAAGTGATCATACGGCAAGCCACGTCATCCTTGGCACAAAAGCTGGCAAGCCACCTTTTTATTTTCAAGATGTCGTAAAGGTTTGTGGACGTCAGTTCAGTTGACAATTTTATTACAGAACAAGAAAACAAAGCCACATTACAAAAAACACAATGAGTTGCAAAACTTTTGCAAACCTTTTTAGGAACCAGGAACGAACTTAGAAAAGTTGAAGAAATTCCAGCATTGGAGTTAAACGAATACATCTGCAAGTGTATCATTTCGATCAGAACCAAAGATGGGAAAGACTATGAGCCTTCTTCACTCCGAAGTCTATTGGCAAGTTTTGAACGACATCTAAAAAAGAACAGCTACTCTGCCAGTATCATGAATGACCTCGTA